TCTAACAACTGTTTTAATTTCTCTTCTCGTTCTTCTTGTTTCTTTTCCTGTTCTTGTATTGCTGCCATCAAGTCTGCGATGCTGTAGTTTGATTTGTCCGCTTCTCGTTTCCATTTTTTATTGTCCCACTCTCTGACACCAATTTGTTACGTCTCCGTTTGTTAATTGATTTCCTGTAACTTCGTTCCGACGAAACTTTAGCGACACAAGTCCTTTCTTAAATAAAACTGGTTTATTCTTTCCGAATACAACTTTACGATACACTCAACTTCAACAGTCGCGCTATAACAAACTATAATTCACGTCTCAAGAGCTCGACTTCAACAATACGTCTCTCTCTGACTGCAGTTCAATTACTCATTACCTACACACATTATTCCGTCACGTTGTGAGCATCTTATATATATATATCAGACTAACATATATCTAGTAAATGCTAGGGCATTCACGAAGGTTCGAGAGAACGAGTGGCGTGACACTAGTCACGTGACCTTGCTGACAGTCTCAACCAAGAATGACCCTCCTCACTACTGATTGTTGTGCAATGCTAGATATTGGAGGTGAGATAGGAGAGAACTGATTTGCCTCTGTGCCAGAAATAATAATCCAAGAATTCATAACATAAATCGGATTGCTATTCGAAACAAATAAAAAATATTTATTTTTTGTTTTTGTTATGAAAATCAACTAGGTAACACATAAAACGCTTAAGAGTATCTCCGATTGATCATAGCACTGGGAAACCCGTTAGTGACGCCTTGTTGAGAAAACATTATCTGAATGAGGTGCTTATATACAGTACCAGGATAGAGATGAGAGTTCACATAAAAAATACAAAAAGTGTCATCAACCACAGAAGAAGAAACTAGCTGAATGAGTTGTTTTACACAACTGGTTAAAGTGGAAGGAGATAAAGTGCAAAACTTACAGCAAAAAAGGATAATGTTGATGTCAATACTGAAAATAAAATCAACCTGTCTGGGAGGCACCCAAGGCAAAAAGGTTCGAGTGATGTCTCCTGCAAGTGAGAAGAAGAGGAAAATATGTCTTAAGCAAAAGATGGTAAATGGAATATGTGACCACAGTTTGATCAGGATAATAGTGAAAGACCTGAAAATTAAAAAGAGGTTCTAGCCTGGAAGAGGAGGATGACCGATGAAAATGGTTCAGAAGATATCTGCAAAAACCAGAGAAAGAAAAGGAGAAATGCCAAGGAAAAGCCACAAGGTCACTAACAAAGTCACTCTGTAACTGGCAATAGAAGAAATGGTTAAATTGCCTTTAAAAGCCAGGTAATAAAAAAGTGAGATGAAGAAAAGACAGGTGGCCTATGGGAAGGGAGTGTTGAATGAACCACTGACAGTAAATCAACTATCTTTGTTACTCAGAGATGTAAAGTCCAGGATTGGTGACCAAAATAGTTGAAGCTTGGTGTTAAGGGGAGTCATAAAGGTGTCAAAGAAAGGAATCTCAAAGTGAAAGCTATTTCACTGGAACATCAGATTATGTAGAAACCATCTTGTGGGAAAAATGTGGTCTAAATTAGACACGAGGTCCAAAGTTCCTGGGAGGTACCAGGTTGATAACCAAATGTGGTGATGGTCATGGACCCAAAAGAGAAAGTCTAGAGCAAGCAAACAAGAGTGAGTGCCTCTCTGTCATGTGCTGTAAAAAATGACAGTAAAGTTGTTTGAATGGATTATAAAAGGATGAACAGACAGGCAAGACAGAAGATTATGGCAAGCTTGTTGAGCAGCAAACATTTTGAGGACACTAATGTGGAGAGACTGCTCCTCTGGAGACCAAATGCCAAAAGTGATGCAGGTGTATAAAACTATACTCCACCTAGATAGAGTGACCCAGAGTCATGGTAGATCAAATAAGCTACCATGACAGCAAGAAGTGAAGAGAAGGGAAAGACATCTGTTGTCTGGATATACTCCACTAATTGGACAAAGTCCACAATGAATGACAGAACATCTTATGCATGGAGAGAAGCATACATGGGAGCTTTGGTAAGTAGAAGTTCCACATCTTGAAGATGTAAAGTCTGAGGCCACCTCACATATATATTGATAAACACCTGATATTGTAAAAAATACTGGATGTAGGTAAAGACTGATTTGGAGCACTTGACCACCCAACCCAAACGAGACAACTCATGATGGAAAATGGAAGTTGTACCACTGGATGGTTGGAAGGAGCAAGCAAAAGCAAATTATCCATACAATCGTGGAATTGTAAGTCTAACAAATGCATTCTCCACGTAAAAGCCATCAGGACCTGATTGAAAATATATGGGTTGTTGCCTACTTGAAGGGAAGGCCTTTGAACTGAAATAATTGATCATTGTAAACAAACTGAAGGAACAGATTGGTGTACACACACATCAGAATATAAAAGAAAGCATCCATCTTGAATTAAGAGATGATGATAAGAAAATGATTCAAGGGTAACATAGTGGGGTTGATAATCTGAAGAGAAGACATAACCTCCTCCAGACATTAAAGATACAAAGAACCTGGGAAGGTGGAAAACTACAAGAAAAGGGAAGAGATGAAACTGAGAGTGGAAGGTCAGGAAAAGCCTCTGAGAAAGCACATGTGTGTTCCAACGGTCTACTGCAGAATCCATAGGTGTACAAACTGGAAGAGTCAAGCTCCCATCAGACTGGGAAAATGGGATGGCTCCAGAAACAAGTCACCTCCAAGACCTGTGATGGCCAACCCTGCAAGAGGCAGACATTACAAAGTAGCAAGTGTACAAGAAGCAGGAGAGGAGGTGAACCTATGATGAACTACCTGCTGCTGATCCAAAAGCACAAGTAATACTTCAATAAATTCATGACTTTTTCGTGCATTTGAGATATGACACTGCATACATTACATTCAATCAACATTGTGCTACACACAGAAATTAACTTATGAAAAGTTTTTCTGTCTTACGGTTTTTTCATACAAGTGATTAATTTTTATGAATAACTATAAGTATTGGAAGACATACGTAGTCAGATACATGTATATCATGAAGCAAGTTCTTCTGTTCAGATTAAGTCATGTGGCCAGTTTCTACATTTACACTTATAATCTAGACTCATCAACAAAATTTTCACTTTTATGTTCCATAAAAATAACTCTATAACTCTAGCCTATGTATATATATAAGTGCATTCTTCTACTTTTAAAATAAATTAAAACTCATTTCACGTCAGCACAGTAAACATTTAATTAATTTTGCAAAAACAATGCAAGTACTATGCAATGTCTATTACAAAGAATCCCATTTCAGTACAGGTAGGGTACCAATTTTCCATGTTTCTGGGACAATGTGGTAAATTGGCCTACCTGGCTTCTGTGGTACTCTGTCCTGTCCAATGACCGTCACCACTATCTTGTTGCCAGTGGCCACTGCCAAACTCCTCCTTTTCCTCTTCTGCTAAAAGTAATTTTTATTATAATCATATGGTCGTTACACTATAGAGGAGATAAACATTTCATTGGTTAAAGAACTTTGACATCTAGGTGTTCAATTATCATAATATTCCTTATAATAACTGTTAACCATACAATTCTCAAGTCAAGATGTACTTCCACAATAATATGCACTTCATCAGGAATGATATGTTTGATTATAAGAAATGGATCTAGTGGAATAATGTTTTCATATAAAGCATAACAGTCTGAATATAAATATGTCTATAAACAAACTCTTTTCCCCTTGAAATCATGAAATCTTTACATGGAGATATGCTGATTCTTTCCTTTGAAAGTCACTGATACATTTCTGTTAATGTCATTAACCTACCCTTAGAAGTGATAGCAACAAGATATGAAAGGTTGCTAACCCAGATATTCAATCACAAATATTGAGCAGCATTATGATATCACTTATCAAAAACAAAAGCACTTTTATTACAATAATTATGAGACAGTCATGGAATTATTACACATTGAAAAAAAAGCTTACAACTGACATGGAATCAAATCAATTTTTGTTAGATGTAATAACAAGAACAAAAAATAGATTATGTTATGCTGTGTAAAAGTGTCATCTCTTATATCTATATTTTTCTTTAAAAATCATTTGATGCCTTTGTGATAAAAATTTAACAATTTCAATAGACATACACTAGAGATATCAAAACTAAAAATTATATCAAAATTAAAGGTTTGTGAAATACATTCACTTATGTCTATACAACAATTCTAATGAGAATATTTTCAGATTTCATATAGGTTAGGTTACTGAATGTATGAAATATCTTATTTCACATAACAATGGTTAGTATTAATCATTTCAATAAATAATCAGAGTGAAAACATTATCATGTAAAATTCTCTAACAAGTCATTGTTATGTAACTTACATTATAGTTTTAGTTAAATATATTTCTATTGTTCTACTACTAAGAGTTCTAGAAGTTACTCATATTTTCTTCATTTGCTGGGTACATGAACAAACAGCTTAGGACTGCAGTTTCAAGTATTGGGTATTCTCAACTCAGCTAGGTTGATAATTAATAATCTGATCAATGAAATTGTGCAACAGATGTCTCTTTTATGCAGAAATCTTTAGCCATAGTTTTTTTCTCAGTATAAATTTTATTTTCTTGAAACAATCTTAAATAGCTTTAATTCTATCATTTTATTTCACATAATAACGATAACATATGAGTAGCATGTTTTTTTGAAATAATCTACATTTTCTCACTTTTACTATGTTTTCTTAAAGTTATTTCACAGACAAAGTGACCAATTTTAATTTCTTCTTTTTTTATTGAATTTTATTTATTATACTACTGTTGTAAGTGTAGCTTTATATATGTCTTACTTTTCTTGTGTATTACAATTTCACTAATTTTATGCATTGTAGCCCATACCCTTATGTGAGTTACTAAGTGCAAAATATATATATACACTGTTTCAGTGAGAGAACTTAGCTGGTGAATTGTTAATTTTTTGTAATAATGATAAATATGGCAGGATATCCTTAACAGAACTCAGCTCCAAAACATATTACGGTAAATGTCTATTATGCTTTGCTTTAATGTATTAATTAGTTGATCCAAGGTCTACTGTGTTATGAATTAATGTGAAGGCTTATGGTATAGATTTTCCATTAATCTAAAAATATACTCTTCAATATTTTTTTTATCTTCTACTTATAAGTTGTACCATTTTACTTGCTTTTATAAGACTTGGATTATTCTAGTTATTAGAAAGGAATATACAAATATAAACAAAGATATCAAAACTGGTTTCCAGATGAACTAGAAGCAACAACATTGTTATGAAAAGTTTGAAATTAAGGTAGCACATACCCTTTAAATGCAAAAAAATATCACAACTTATTTTTTGCATATCTTGAATCCTTAACCCCTTTACTTTCAATGTCCAGTGCAAAAAAGGTCTTAGCTAAACTAAAAACCTTTAAAAAGTATGAAAAATAAAAGGTTTTCCATTTAAATGTCTTTAAACACATTTTTCTCAAAATCTGAAAATTTACATTCTCATAGTGGCTTTTAACTCATAATTTCAGATCTGTTGACACTATAGACTTCACAATTGGCATAAATATGCATTATTAGTGTATCTACAGTGTGTACTAAGGTATAGTTGATAAAAGGTTTGGTTATTATTAAATGACCAGTAACAAGTCACTGTAGCATATGTCCTACTTATGGCATACCCATTAGTGCCGTAATTATAACTTGAATTAATTTTAAAGTTTTCCTTAGTTCAGACTAATTCTTCCTATTCCATCAAAGTTTGGACCCATTTTCAGGAGCATTAAGTCATGTTTGTAGAAGTTATCAGGAATATAAGATATTTCTTTTGTATTTCTTTATCTTTATAATATGAAAATTAGTCACAGTGGTAACATTACACAACATGTGTCAGAATATGTCTCTGTACCTATTTCGATATATTTTCATACAAAAAACATAGTATGAATGTTTTTTTTTCTGATAAAAAGGACAAAAATCTAGATAACACTATGTAAAGGGTATATGCTACCTTAAGATACTGATGATACAATGTCTCATCTTCATTACTGAATTAAGTTCTAATTAACTTCTTTTCTGATTCACAACCACCCATAAAAGCAGTCTGTCTTAAGTTTCTCCTTCACCTATATAGAGGATTTCTGTTACATATATTAAGCATGTAGTATGTAAAATGTTTCACTTTTGAAACACTGTTAATTGAATTCAATATAACATGTGTATCAAACCCTTTAATTAAAAAAATTCTGTCAATTCATGTTACCTACAACAAATTATAAGTTACAAATGTCATGTCAATCCTTTAAAAAAATGAAGAGAAAACATATATCAATGCATTAATAAATCACTTGAAAAGATTGAAAAATGAATTTATGATGGCACTTTATTAATCCCTGAAATTTTAGTATTTATAATGTTCATTACTTTCATCCAACAAAGCATGATTAGCTGTATAATGAAGTAATGTAAAATGTTATAATTCGTAGCATACCACAAGTGAAATGAGAGGGGAATTTTGAATGAAATTCATGGTCATATTCCCTCGGATCAAAATGCACTGTTCTGTCATCTTGACGGTAAACAGTGTGACGAGTTGAAGCTGCTGGCAGAGGCACTCCATCAGAGACATCTGTATGATAGATGAAACAATGACATTGACATAAACCATACTTTTTCCTAAGAATAGCTAGCTTTACAATTTTAAACTCTATATGCTAGACCACAGGAATTAATAACAAGTGTTTATTAAACTTATCATAAAAATGCTTTGTTCTTATATGTTAGAAGGCTTGCTTTGATCTAATAATGGGAAATAATAACAGGTGTATATCAAAATTAAAATACTTTTTATTACAATGTTTGAAAGCTTGCTTTGATCCCTCTAATAACTCAGCACTTCATTTCTATTTATTGACTACTTAATTAGGACTTTCATAAAAATTTATTAGAAACTCATTTGAAAAGCACAAAAACTGGACCTAAACATGATCAGGTATTTTAGGGATAAACCTGAACATTGCATTTTCCACCATACCCTTCTGCATATATCAGTAAATGAAGTACATATCATACTTCTTAATAAATAGAGTATAAGTGACATCTTCTCATAAATTGTGGGGTCTATGCCATTATTTAAAACTATTAACATCAGTCACAAAAAAGTGAGAAACTAACACCGTTATGTACACTGCTGAATCTGGTGGAAATAATAAAATATAATGATACATATTATTAACAGTTCTTGAAGCTTATAAACCATAAAGAATTTTATGCTGCAAGCAAATCCTGAATATAAATGCAATAATACTACTTATCCAAGGACAGAGTAACTGTTAAACAGAACAAATACTTAAATACAATGTAAAGTAATAAATACTCAAAACAACCCTGATATTGTAATAACTTTTACACATATATAGTTATAAAAAGTTTCTTTAACCTAAGAATTACTCTTATAGTAAAAAATGTTCTGAATTATCACATTAATTTTTTTACCAAATTAAAAAAAACACACACTAAACAACACTTAAAGAAAGATACATAAAAATGAGGGAAATTAATCATTAAGCATTTTATTAGCACCATAATATTGCATTCCAACAGATAAAAATATACAAGTTAATATTTTTTTAAAAACACAGAGACATGATTAACAACTTATATTTATTCTAGTACAATTCATGCAATAATTTTGTTAATACATGTTTCAAATATCAAAAAAAAATAAAAAAAAATGGAGAGAAAACACAAATCCATGCATCAATAAATCACTGTAGCAGATGGATTTCCCTATAAAAACCAAAAATAAAAAATAAAGTGCATTAGTAAACAAACTGTGAGAAGGGAACACCACCAATTAAGAATTTGGTTCTATTACATGAAATAAATCACTAGTAACAGCAAAACACAGAACTTTCTGAATATTAGATACAATGAGTTTAACGTAGAACCTCTAAAATGAAACTGTTGAGTCCCTCTGTCCAACATCTGACCTGCTGTTGAAGTTGGCTCCTGAGTCTTAAGATGAAATACTGGATCTAAGAATTAAGCCAAGTAAGAAAGAGAAAGAAAATGAAGGTGATGGGTTAAATAACTAAGCTTTTTCACTAAAACTATCTTCATAGTACCATTGAAATTTATACTTTTAACATCATAACCAACAAGTTATCACTAATTATTAAAGAATATGGCAAGGAAGGTGAAATAATATTTCCTTCATTATTTTAATTAATCATTTTAAAAAAGTATTTGTTTGTGCATCTAAGGAATTTTGGTTACAGCATAATGAGATACAAATATATTTGAAAAATAAATATAACTAATAACTTGACATGCTTTACAATATGATCATGAACAATTTGCTGAGATCTCAAACTTCCAATTCCGTATCTCATTTGATCATAACATTAATTTTGCTTCTCAAGTTCTGTTTGAGATATGTTAAATGTTTTACTAGGACATCATTTTAATAATATGGCATTTATAAAATAATAATGAAATTAATGGTTCCCTAAGTTTTCATACTCAATGAAGATATGTTGTGTTACAAAATAACTAGGTTAATAATATCAATTACATGTAATATATAGTGTCATGCAAATGGATGCCTGTTTAATTAAAACATGCAGAATAGAAGAACAACAAGAAAGAATAAAAAAATGGTGCAAAAATAGTTTTATGAGCAGCTACCTGACTCCAATCCTTCATCAGTCTGGTAAGATGAGCTGTGTTCATGGTCATCTGAATCAAGCATTTTGGAAAGAGAGGAAGCACAGAAGTAAACAGATGAAACAGGTGGGGATTGGGTATCTTGGGGTTCAGCTTGAGAAGAGGAAATTTTTTCACCTGAGGAATCATTTGTGTAAACGTTTAGTCTATGACAATGTGCATCATTAGAATCCCTTTCACCATCCTGACTTTCACTCCAAGTTTTCATAAAATATTCCATTTGTTTATGAGCATCAGGGCCAGTAAATGTCACTGTGTGTATCTCTGGCTTCACAACAAATTTCTGGGTTACACGTATCATATTTCCTTCGTCATCAACTCCTTCATAGTGGTCTTCATCTTCAGTAGGTTTCAGTGAGTCAAAACTTTGAAAAAACTCTTTAGTCTGTTTCTCAGCATCTGGCCCCATAAAGGTTTTTTTATGAATCTGTGGTTCTGATGTTACATGTCGTTTTACTGTCCTTGTGATGATTACATTTCCTTTTTCATCCACCTTTTGATGTTCTTCAACTTCTTCATGATCTTTACCAACACCTAGGGTCTGTTCCTTTAATAAATCTTTTAATTTTTCTTCTATTTTATCTGTACTACTAATAGTAGGCTCATATAAGATATTTCTCTTAACACCTGTGGTTTTAATTTCTTCTAACATTTCAGATGGTTCATCTTTAAAAGCTATACTTGCATCTTTCTCAGCCTTAAATGTTTCTACAGCATCAGATGTTGAACCAGATTCAAAGGTTTTGTCATCTAGGTGAGTAACTAGTTGGCAAGTAAGTGTTTCTTCAGGGCCCTGCGGTTCAGAGTTCAAGAGTTCTTTTATAGTTTTTGTGATGACTACAGTTCCCTTTTCATCTACTGAGGGATGTCCTTCAACTTCATCATCACCATAATCAATATCAATTGTCTGTTTAGGTATGAAATCTTTTAAATGTTTTTCTACAACTCGTTCAGAATCTGTGATATCACGATTTGCTTCACAGGTAATATTATTTTTAATATGACAGATAATAACTTGATTTCCACTTGCATCTATGGTTTCAATTTCTTCTACGCTTTCAGATGGTTTTTGTATAACAGCTATATTTTTGTCAGCCTCAAATGACTTTTTTACATAAGAAGCCACACCAGATTCAGGGGTTTCTTCATCCAGGTAAGTCATCACTTGTGGTTCTGATGTTAAATGTTGTTTGATCATTTTTGTAATGACTAGATTACCCTTTTCATCTGTTGGGTGATCTTTCTGAGTTTCATCACCATCATTAACCCCAGTAACTTGTTTTTCTATAACATCTTTCACTTTTTCTTCAATATCTGTTTCAGATTCTGTGCTATCAAGTTTTTCTTGCCACACAATATCTTTTTCCACAGAATGGATAACCACTTGATTTTCACTTTCATCTTTGGCTTCAACTTCTTCATAAACTTCAGATGATTTACCAGCACTAAACGTTTCAGCATCTTTTCCAAGCACCTGCTCTACATCATGACTCATGCGAGGTTTAGTGCTTTCCTCACTAAGACAAATAATTAACTGACTGGGTTGTGTCATGCTTTGTGATATAACAGTTTTGTAGTTCTTATCAGCATCCTTTACAAGTGACCTAATTTCAGATTTTAATTGTAAATGGCTTTCTACTTGATCTCTGCTGAAGATTTTATGAGATTCTGTAGCTTCAGACATATCTCCCACTGAATAAGAAAGAACTACTTCTGGTTCAATAGTGTCAGTGCTAGATACCATTGTTGACTCCTCTCCTGAGGTATGAACACTGTTTACACTAGAAGACATCACTGAATCAGTTTCAAATTGATATGTGGCATGTGTAGCTGTAGAACTGCTAGGTTCCAAAGAATCTGTGCTTGATATCATACAATCACCTTTACCTCCACTACCTTGTCCATCTTTTCCACTTGAACTTGTGTCTTGTCCAGTAATATGTTCATCTTTCAAAGAGTCTTTGTCACATTCATCTTCAGATAGGTGTCTCTGGTGCCAAGAACTTTTTATAATTACTTGTTCTGAAGCTTTCTGTGCCCCAGGTAAGATTGCTTCCTGATCATCTGGTAAATCCATCTCTTCATGAAGTGAATCTTGGTCCACATCCCTTTCTTCTTGCAGTGAGTCTTTATCTGCTTTTTCTTCTAGTAATGAGTCTACATCAGCTGACTTATCACTAAGCAAAGAACTTTCTTCAGCATGAATTTCCTTTTTTTCATAAATTGAATCTTCATGAAAAGAATGATCAAATTCTTCATGCATAAAATCTTTATCCTCTTCTAGAGTTCCATATTTTTCAACTCTTTGGTCTATGAATAACCTAGATTTCAGGTCACCAACAGCTTCTGTCTCTTCTAGTTCAGCTTCTCTTTCTCTCAAAGACTCTATATCATACTGAGTCACAGTAGAAGTGGAGCTTCGTGGTTGAGAATCACAACTTTCAGCTGAGTGACCACTTACAGTTCTACCAATTATAATGTGCTGAGGTAAAGCAGGACGAGTTTCTAACTCATGAACAATACTTTGTTCATTTGTTTCTAACATGTGACCTTCTACAGAAACTTGTCTTTCCAAAACTCCATTCCCATTTAATGAATCAATGTCATGATCATCTTTCTGAGATGAGGTCTTCTCCATGAGGCTACTTTCTGTGCTTTCACTTGAAAGTGTTCCTGTATATTTTTGCAACTTAATGGTAAAACCAGCAGATTCTGAAAGTGACTGGTCATGATCAGCATGGAACTGTTCAACATTGGTTTGGGCCTGTCGAATAATTTCATCAATTTCACTCATTCTTTTCTCATAGTCATCTGATTCACTTGATTCTGCATCCTCTGTGATGTCTTGAACATGATAACTTTCTTTAATTTCAGAAGATTTCGAGAAGTCTTCCTTGGTTGCTGCATGCTCAACTTCTTCACATTCCTTTTCTAACTGCTCAAACTCAGTCTGAGAACAGAGAGAGATATCATCCACTTCTCCTGATTTACTTAAGACTGTTTTACCAATAACTAAATCAACCAATCCCAGACTGGATTTCTCTCCTATTGTAACTCCTGACTCCAGATTTTCAAACTCTTGTAAGGATGAAACTGACCCATCCTCTTGCTCACTTTTACTTATATACTTTTTCCCTGCAAATGCATTGAGATCTGAAGAGTGAATCTTTTCACATGAGGATGGTTTGGTTTTACTAGCTCTTTCAATTTCTTCAAACCCATCTTCATCTTCTTCACGATGTGTATATAATTCCCCAAAACTGTCTTCTTCTAAGTCATGTTCTTGTTTTCTTTCAAACTGTATACCATAAGTATATGTTACCTTTTGTCCAGATGGTCTACCATCTTTGTCTTCTTCCATCACATTTTTGCTTTGGAAATTACTGTCCTGCTCAATGTCATGCTTATAAGCTTGATGTGCTTGGATTGTGAATTTCTCTGATACAGCTGTTGCTATATGTGATTCTGCTAAAGACTGTTGTCCACATGATCTCTGAGCTTTTGACAATAAAGATTCTTCCATGATGTCTCCTTGCTGTATTTTACTAGAGGAGGATTTCTCAATAGAAGAAACTGTTTGAATTTCATTTTCAGTAATGATGTCATAAGTGTCTTCCTCCGGTTTAGTGTCAGCAACTTCTTTTTTATCCATAATTTCAAATGATTCACTGATGTGTGAGTCTGTTTGAAATTGTCTGGAAAAGCCCTCAGTATGTGTGACAAGTTGTTGATCTGCAGATGTAGATTCACTCATAATTTTAGTAGCTGGAAATTGTGTTGTTGAAGTGACAGAAGTATGTCTAAGACTAGTTTCTTGAGCTGATGGTATATTTTGCTGAAGAAACACTGAACCTTGATCACTTTCTGGGAGGTAACTGTCATTTTCTCCCAAAGAACTATAATCTGGTGGCTCAGGTGACATTGGGCGTTCTATGTCTTCTAAATCTTTCTCTTGCTCTGATTCTACTGCATGACTCAAAACACTTTTTATTTCTGAATCCACCTGGTCTTCTGAAACTTCAGCTATTTTACCTGACTCATAAAACTCTTCTAACAGTTCTGATTCAGGCCAATCAACTGTTTTATCTACTTCACATGGAAGATTCTGTGTTTCTTCTTCATTTTCTTCATACTGACGTTGATAGTACTGAAAATACACTTCATCAGCTTCAGCTCTACATGTTTCATATTCTTGGGCATACTCCTGCTCTTGAAGTTCTTGTATTTCTTGAATTGTTTGAATATCTTGTATATCTCCTTCTGATGAATCGGACTCAGAACATTGTTCTGAAACAGTGTGTCCTAAAGATACTGTTGGTGGTTGTAATTCTTGGCTTTCATCATAAACTCTTTCACTTTCAGGTTGGTGAACTTGAGAAGGTACTAAAGCAGATATTCCTGTTGCTGAAAGAAGTATATTCCTTGTTGCTTCAACCATACTTGTTTGCTCTGATGTGTCTTGCGTATCATTACTATTGCTATCACCTGTTACTGCAAACATTGTTGGAGTTCCTTCAGCAAAGGTTGACTCTACTTCTGTTTCTTGTTCTTGTGATTCTGGGTATGGAGCATCATATTCTGGAACATAGTCTACTTCAACAGGGCCATTAACTTGAGGGTAAAGCATTAAATCACTTGGATAAGGTGAGCGTTCTGGAGGTTGTTCAGATACCACATCAGATGATTCATGTGTTGAAAACTGTTGCTCAGCAAAGATATGCATAGTTTCAGTTACCTGTTGGTCTTGACTAACAGCTCCAGAGCAAGGCCATGTTTGTTGTTCAGTAGCCAAGATAGTGGTTTCAACACTTGAAGACAACCAGGTTTGTTCACTATGGGTAACAGAACTTTCTGAGGCAGAGAGTTCTTCTTGGCTACAGCTCATTTGATCTGTTAGATCATCCACTGATTCAGCTGCTAAATAGGCACCTGATTCCTGTCTATAGATAAAAGATCTTAATGTGTGCTCATCAGAAAATAACTGGCCATCTAAAATGGGAGTCTGTTCATCAGATATACTTCTTTGGCCCTCAATACCTACTGTACTCTGAACTGTCTCACTCACTACCACAACATCAGTGGCAGTATGTTCATGGATAATATCATCAGACTTAATTTCTTTTGAATTTTTTTCTAGTTTATGTTTATCTTTGAGCTTGCTTTCTTCAGCTTTGTGAGAGTCCAAACATTCAGATTCTGAAATATGTTCTAGATAATCCCCTGGATAATCTGCTAAGTCCTCTTCTGTTATGATTTCAAAGGGACTAGATGGGATTTCATGCACTTCAATTAGGTTTGACCACTGACTGAATATGGCCCCTGAGCTTTGTGGATAAGAAGCTTCAAAAGACTCTTTTGTCTTCCAGTCACTTAAAAATGGAACCTCCACACCTCCTCGAATTACTTCTTCAGGTATTTCAGAGTCATAAGGTTCTCTGACAACAAATGCTTGAGCCATTTCATTATCATCAGGAGTTGGGGTTTCTATATCTCTTCCAAACTCTTGTTCCATCTCCTGTGCTGAAGGAACAAGAGTTTCACTTGCTTCTGATGAAACTTCTACACTAGCTAAATGCCCCGAACTCTCAGAATCTACTGAAATAGCAGACTCCCGAGAACTGTGACTAAGTGATGAATGAGCTGTAGCAAAAGATATTTCTTGAGAGGTATAAGCTGTGGAATAGGAACCTGAGATGTCTCCTGAAACTTCTTGTGAAGTAGCACAAGTCTCATACTCTGAGGATATTGGTGCACTAATATTTATATCAAATTCTGATGAACAAGGTCTGCTTGTTGCTGGTGTTTCACGAGGTGTTCTTCCACTGTCAGACATTTCAAATGAATAATAATGGCTGTCAGTTTCCCCTGAACTAGAGCAGGTCTCACCTTCTCTGCTTATCTGTTTTTCTTTTCTGGTTAAGTTAGATAGTTCAGATAAGTCAGTTGTCCTTCCAGAGATAAATTTATCTAACTTATCAGATTCATTTTTCTTCTCCACATCAGATTTGATTGTAGCTTCTGAAATGGTTTGATCTCTCATGATTATTTTTTCCTGAAGGTCTACTGATTCAAAAGAGCTGTCTTCACTCTGATAATTTATTGTACTTTTTTGGACACTTGCAGTTTTTTTTTCATCTTTCATTAACTGGTCACATTCATAAAGAGACTGAATGAGCTCTTCTGAACTGTCAAGAATAACTGTTTCTTTCTGTTGAGTGAAAGACTGTATGTCTCTGTATGTGATATTTTCAGATGATTCTGATTTTTTAACCGAAGTTTTCTTACTGACATCAACAGTTTCATTTCCTGGTTGCTGAATATTTTCAAGTTTTTTTTCAACTATTTGTATTTTTTCACCAGAGGTAAGATGCATATCAAAAATCTCTTTATCCTTTTCAGTTTTAGCAAAGTCATCAGATATGCACTTCTCTACGTGTGTGTATGAAGAAAAGGAAGAAAGGTCTAGTTGTTTCTTTGATGAAGCTTTTTCTTCCTGTTTTTGATCAAGTACTATTGGAGTAGATGACATGTAATCTTGTTTCTGCACCTTTTCTACTATACTTTCCTTAAGCATCTTCTCATCATCTTCTGCATGTGTTGAGAGAAGGTCTGATTCTTTTTCCTTTACCTCCTCAGTAACATTTTCAAATAATTTGATTTCAGATGTCATTATATTAGCACTTTCTTCTTTAGTTTCTTTTCCTGCAGTAGTAAAAGTCACTAATTTATCATCTAACTGAATTTTTTCAAAAGATGACAAACATTGGGAGAAATTATCTGTCCTGTCTCCAGTTGCTTGTGTCAGAGTTTTCTGCACCTCATTTGGAAATTTTTGTGCTTCTGTTATATATTTTTTCTTTTGTTTGTCACAAATAATACCACTACTTGGTTTTGATTCATTATAACTATCTTCCCCTTTAACTGTTTCCTTCTGGTATACTTTTTGTTCAGAAGATAAAACTACTTCCTTAAAAGTAGCACATGTATCACCTTTCTCTTGATCATCCAAATGCTCATAGTGTTCTAGTTTACTTTTGTGTTCCTCTTCTTCTGTATGCATCTGATCACATTCTATAGTTTCAAATTCTTCTGTTGTTATTTGAGGGATTTCAGGCATGTCTTCAGAGAAAGAAACTCTTTTTTCTTCTGGCTTATCTCTAGTTTTTAATAAATATTCTACTTCTTGATGGCTGAGCATATATTCTTCTGACTTTTCAACAAGATCTTCATCAGATATTTCAGAAAGAGAATGTTCTAGTGTATGACATCGACTCACTTCTGTTTTAATATCTTCAATAATATCCTGAGCAACTTTGGTTGCTTCCTCTCTTAAAGAATAAAGAATCTCATCATCTCTACTTTCTTCACTAGATATATCTTTCTGTTTATCACAAGATTCAATTTTTTCTGAATCATCTACACTACCTTCTAAACTTTCATTTTCTTCATGTTCTACAATTATTTGTTTTTCTCTGGGAAGTTCTTTAACTTCTTCTTCAATAATTTCTTCTGAATCTTGTTGAACTGAGGTCTCCCACATTACATGTTCCACTGCAACAATCTTTGACTTTTGTTCCCATTCTGACTTCTCTATGATACTATTTTTTTCTTGAGAGAACTCATTTTCATAAACTTGTTTATCATCAGTTTTTGCAATATTAATGTCATATCTTGAAATAACTTGGTCTATTATCTCCCCTTTCTCCTCATAAGCTTTAGTTTCAATGATTCCCTTGCTTTTAGCATTCCCCTGGTCGTATGGAATATCCTTTCCTTCTGGTAAGTCATTTTCTATATCTTCTGCTAGTTCATGAGCAAAGATTTCAGAACGAATTTGCTGAACAACTATGATATCTCTGTCTACTTCTGTTTGTATCATGGATTTTTCTTCTAGAATGTCTTTCTTTTCTGGAGTGTTTTCTTCTATAGACAGGTCAAGTTCTTCATTAAAAATCTGAGACTTAATGTGGTGTTCTACATGAGTTTTACTGTCTTTCTCACTTGTATCCATATTCTGTTTTGAGAACTGAGAAAATATTTCCTGGTCCATTTTGACAGTTTTATCTTGACCAATAGGTAGCGTGGGTGTTGATGGTCGTAGCACTTCATAAGGACTGGTAGCTCTTCCAGAATCTGGTTCTTGCATGGCAGGTTCATCTATAACATCAACTCCTGCAAAAGCTGTGTTTTCATATCCAACAGGAGTTTCATGAAGTGCTACATCTATTTCAGAGCCTTGAGAAATTTCAGATAAATGGGTTGATTCTGTCCAAGTATGTACTTGATAAACTTTAGATGAAACATCTTCAATGCCATCAGAACTTTCTGAGCCTTTGCTTCCATAAGCATATTCAGTTCTTTGTATTTCCGAATATGTTTTCTGGGGAGATGAAGAATGCATATTGGTTAAAGGCTTTTTTTCAGTTTCGGATAGAGGCTCAGATACCAATTTTGAATCAAAGTCCTCTTCCAATTTTTTTACTTGTTTTTCCTCATCTTTACCACTTTCACTTGCAGCTGGTTTACTTTCTGTTGGTGATACCCCAACATGAACTTGCATTTCTGGTACAAGATATACCGTATAATCAGCTGCAGGTGATATTTCCTGTTCTGTACTGTATGAAGTAGTTTCAGGAGGAGATGGACGGGACAAGGGAGACTGTTTATCTTCATGTGAAGAAAGTTTATGTTCAGTAGGAGGAGATGTTGGTTCTATATGGGAAGGTTCTCTTCCTGTATCACTTGCTACTTGTGGTTGATGTACAGTGGAGTCAAGTGCTATAATATTAGTGAAGAAAAAAGTTAGTAGCTTTCAACCCTATATCTGTAGTTTTGGGCCATGGAATCTAGATCAAGCTATTTGTGAGATTAGTATAAAGTTACATTTTACACACAAAATGGTATTTCAAATTAATAAGTCACACACTTGCAATGTTTAGTGGAAGGTTTAATGTATACATTTATTTCTCAAATATATTTGAGAAGATTTTTAAATAAGACAAACATACTTAAGGCTTTCAATTCCTTTTGTATCTTCAGATTACCACTTTACCTTCAAATTTATCAAAATCATCCTAGAAAACAATGTTAACAGTTACCTTACCTGAAAATGTATTTCTCACATATACTTATCTCTCTGCATCCAGTAGGTATTTCTTGCACACCAGTTGAAATTCTGAATGCCACTAGCCATGAACTATCTCCTACCTAAATCACATTTTGATGTGAACTGTGCTAATACATATGTCATCATTGTACAGCAATAGCCTTCAACAATAAGACAATGACACATTCTCCATGCATAGAAGATCCACATAAGCACTTGAACTCAAAATTAATTTCATTCTTAGATGAAGCCAAAATAATGTGCAGTAGTAGTAGGGGGGGGGGGAGGTTTGAAGGTGTGCAGAGAGGTAAGTATTTATCAAAAATACATTTTCAGGTAAGGAAAAATGTTAATTTCTAAAATGATCCAATTAACTCTCTGCACCCAGTAGCTAGATTTCCACACTGATGTGGTGGAGGGACAGATGTAAACAAGAAAACCTAGATGAGTTCTCTTCAGAAAAGGCATCAGAAGGAGAAAGTCCAGGGAGTGTGACAACCAACAAGAAGGGCTTAATAGAGGGGCAACACTTGTGGGAGACTTGACTCTTCTCAGACAAGGTATACTCTTTGTCCAGGTGGAAGTATGAAAGGAAGAAGGAAAAATATGACTCAAAGTGTTGCAGGGATGGGTGGAAAATACATGACCAATTGAGCTTTTGCACATATTAAGTCAAACGGACATGAGACATAGCATGGCTAGGACAATAATCAGACCACACAGTTTGGTATGTGTTCTGTTGTACAATGTACTATCCATACATACAGGGATGGGGACTAGGATTTTTCCTGCTTCCTGAGAAGAAACAATGTCCATCCCACTGGTCAAAACCATCAAAAAATAAGTATACAACAGAACAGGGGAGGATCTATAATACACTAACAAGAACATCCCTGTCCTACTTCATACTGCATTGTGCTTGCCAACTCAGAATCTCTCCAAGTGATGAACTCTCCAAATCAACCACCCCAGCAGCTAGGAACTAGTAATGGTAAATGTCTCCTATGTTCCACACAAAGACCAGTGGAGTTTTGCATTCAATGAGGTGTCTGGACCCAATTTGACTTAATCACTGCAAAGGTCTTTTACGAGAAAAAGTGCAATGGGTCACCACAAAACCTATTTTGAAAAGCTGGAATGTGTGAGCCAGGGAAGTGGAAAGGCACTTCCTCAATACTGGCCTTTTCCATGATATTCCATGGAAGGTATGGTGTGGAATGGACACACATATATATATATATATATATACATGAACACACACACACAACAAAACTGTAGTGGTCTTCCAGGGATGTTGTAATCATCTCAACAGTGAGCATAAAGGGACTAGGGCAGATGGGCTTAACACTTTCCATTACCCCAGAGTTGATGAGGATTAAAAGTAGTTAAAAAAAATAAATGAGGTACTTCCCCCATTAAAGTTGGTGAGTAGAGTGGAGAATGGTAACTAGAGGGAAAAGATGTCTATATGGAGATGAAACAGCCAGATGAAAAGGAAGATGTGTTGGATATTGACATCCTCCTTGTTTGTAAGATCTCATCTAAACGTCACCTCAATAGTGAGGCTAGAGTGCATTAAGGGAAAAATGGTGTGATAGAGTCTGTGAGTGTTGTCCACTAGGGAAGTAAAGAATAATCCAAACAAAGTGATGAATCCAATAATTAAGAGTAGTGGACTAAAGATCTCTGGATGAGGAGGTGTCACACAGCAAGAATAAGTGATTGCAAACGTCATGAATGACAGCCATGCATGTCAAGCAACATCCTACTGCCTGAAAGGGGCACAAAGACATCTAAGGTAGGAATGATCATTGTCGGCAGAAATGACAAAAGAGAAAAGGACCTGACCCTTCTCCCTCTCAAGCCATCCATGTAGAAAAAAAGGAAAGAGTGCTTAGGAAGCAAAAGGAAGTAAGGTTTGTGGAACAGAGTGTGAAAGGCATATAAAGCATAAATGTCAGAATGGCAATGACCCCAAACCAGAAGGAGAAGGAAAGAGGCCTTCAAGTAAAGGTGAGAGAAGAAACAAGTGGCTAAGGGTTCAAATAGGTTTAGATGAGAGTGTAAAGAACCACAAGAGGGTCCCAATCAGGCAAAAGAAACAGATGAGGGGAAAGAAAAAGGAAAGAAGGACAGGCTAAGGAAAGATGGAATCATGGCAAAAAAAGACAAAAGGCGGTTGATAAGAATGTACAATATCCTGCCATGGTGTAGACCCACAATCTCTGGTCAAACAGCCTGATAAAAAAGTCTAAATGACAGGTAACAAAAAAAATGGCCCAGAAGCAGAGATTGCCTGACCAGTGGTGATAAAAATGTCACTTGCATTGGAGAACAGAGAGAGTGAAAGAATGAAATGAGTGGTACAAAAGAAAGGCAATGCAATATGAGAAACTAGCCATCGAGTAGGGAATGGACAATCCCACATGCTTAGACAAAGGGATGACACTGCTAGAAGAAAGAGTAATACAGAAGTTGGAGTAAGTAAGTAGAAGTGACAGAAGATGAAAATGTGCCTAAGATGTCAGAAGAGTAAACCAAGACGGATCTAGCCAATAAGAAGCTATAAGCAGGATTCAACAAGGAATGTGTGGAACACAGCCAAGACACATGGATGTAGGCAGGTGGCAGGGAACACATATGAAGAACAATATTCTAATGCAAACTGTGTCCACAACCACAACAGCCAGTTGTGAGATAAAGGACCAAAAGAGCTGAGGTGGCCAGATACTCCATGACTTGCAGACAAAATGGAGAAGGATGAGCCCAAATGAGTTGTGAAGAGTAAAGGGCTTTGAGATGGATTAACTATAGAGTTGGAGTCAGGAAAAACAACACAGCTTGTTGTCTATCACTGTTTGGGAATGAACAAAGTGAGAAATGAAATTATAAAATCATAAAAGTAGAAAATGAAGATCAGGCATGCATTGAAAGATGAAACAGTCACAAAGACTGTAACTATGATAATAATTATTACTAAGTCAAAGCAATCACAAAAGTTGTACAAAATCTTTCAAACTTGAAGAGCAAAATTAAACATGTCTGTTAATGGCAGTGACAAGTTTAAGAATGAAGTTCATTTCAAGTGCAAGTACTTATGGAGATCTACTGCACATGGAGGGTGTTTTGTCCTCCTATTGCTGGAGGGCTACTGCCACATAATGATTACATTATGTACTAGCACAGTTCACATTGAAACATATGATTTAAATGGAAGACAGTTCAAGGTTAGTGGCATGCAGAAAATTTAAATGGCAGGCATACAAGAAATAGCTACCTGGTGCATAGGTAAGTGGGATCATTTCAGAAATATAAATATAGCCTGCTGGCCTTTTTTGTACAGAAACACTTATTTTTTTAAGGATGTTTATTGAGATTAGTTCTACTAACAATGCAGGACAAATTCAAGCTAAACACAAACAAATGGGATCTGTTTTAATCATAATAAATTATTTTATAACCAATTAAAACATTCAAGCTGCCTCCATCCATAGTTGGGTTATAATAAATTAGAATTATATTTTGACAAGTAGAGGAAAGAGTAGAATAATGACACCACAATATTTTTTTTCATATATTACATGCCGTTTAAGTATTTGAGAAGAGATGCTGTAACAATATCCTTTCTATTGTAACACCTAATGAGGAAAAGTCTATTCAATCTCGTGGTTTGGTTAGAGCATCCAACATTTTAAACATTGTATTGTCAACAATGATAAAAGAATTCACATAATAATCTTATATATATATATTTATTCAAAGAAAATTTAGATAGATCCTCTCCAACAAAACTTTACTCACAAAAAATAAACAATCCTTATAACCAAATACAGTAAAATATATCTGTCATGAACACTATTGTATTAATTTTCTAATAACATTATGCTACACCTAATATTTTTAACATTTCATTGCATTTCCTAAATTTTATTTAAAAAAAACCTTATATCAGAGCAATTATAAGATTTCTAGTCAATTCCAGCAAATTTCTGAAAGGCTTCTCAGGCATAAGTTTACTACTTAAATCGGGTTGGTCATGTAGTCAAAATCAACTAATATTTTTCACATTTTTTTTCTTTTTTTGTTCACAATATAACTTGGCTACCAAAATTCTATAGCTTATTACAGTCTGAAATAGGTGAAGACGTTTCTACACAAAAATAACTATTCAAGATTTAGGTGCAGCCATAAAAAACTTTCCATTCTCATAAATAAATCTTAAAATTTCTAGATAAAACTAATTTTCCAGTCAAAATGCACACATAGACAAACACATAATCATGTAGAAGTTAGTTACTGAAGCTGGTGGTAGGTCACAAACAAAAATATTATTAGTTGTACTTCCACAGGGTCTCCGAAAGTGTTCTGTTTCAAGAGTAAATAAAACCAAAATTAAAAGTAACAAATATTTTTATTTCTTGCTTTTGAAGTTCATATGTTATGTTGTAGCCTACAGAGTGTATAATCATTCTTGTGATTCATAGCATGCACATATTTTATTGACATCAGGACAGTACAAATTGTAATATTAAGGATCCTTTATGTGACATAATTTTAGTGTCTACTGACTGACTGACTGACAGCCTACACACTATTGTATTATGGTGGAGTAATCTAAACTATTACTGGAAGTCTGATAGTTTACAGTAAATTTGCTTATAAATATATTTAT